CGACACATGGAGTTTATTTAAAGCCGAACAATGCACCGTGTTTGATAACCTACAAGGCCAAGCACTTCAGCAGCCGCAGCCAGTGTCGGCCAACAGCGTGAGTGACAACGTGTGCTATGTCGTTAACTTAATATTGTGTTCAATTTGGCCCTGGAAATAAAAGGGTATTGTTTTTTGACAAAGTGTGTGTGGTTTTGTTTTTTTAAGTACCGGTTCGAGAACCGTTTAAATCAAATCAAAATCAAATCAAGTTTATTTGTATAGCCCTTTACAATAGCCGAAAGGTACCCAAAGTGCTTTACAACAGAGCCATGAAACAGTACATAACACATATATAACATACAAATACAATTTAAAGTGCTGCAGCACTGCAGGGTATTAAAAGCCTTCCAGAAATGCACAGAAAGGAGCAGATAAAAAGAGTACACCTAAGAGACAGTACTGTCCTATTCAGAATTAAAAGCTAATCTAAAAAAGTGGGTCTTAAGCTTCGATTTAAAAAGGCCGAGATCAGTAGTGGTACGAATGTCAGGGGGCAGTTTGTTCCACAGTCTAGGAGCAGCGACGGCAAAAGAACGATCGCCCCACTGTTTAAGTCTGGACCTAGGGACTTCTAACAGAAGCTGACCTGAAGAGCGCAAGGCTCTGCCACAATTGCGAAAAGTTAAAATCTCTGACAAGTAAGAGGGGGCCGAGCCGTTAATGGTGTTAAAAACAAACAACAAAAGTTTAAAATCAATTCTAAAAGTGGAGTGACGACAGCACAGGAGTAATATGTTCACGTCTTGACGTGCTAGTTAAAAATCGGGCAGCAGCGTTCTGCACAAGTTGGAGACGAGAAATTGAGGACTGACTGAGGCCGACGTAAAGGGCATTACAGTAGTCCAGTCTTGAGCTGATAAAAGCATGGATTGCCTTCTCAAGATCCTGCCGACTGAGAAAAGACTTCACTTTGGCCAAAAGACGGAGCTGAAAAAAGCTCGTACCGACAACCGAGCTAATCTGTTTGTCAAATTTGAGCCCAGTATCAAATGTTACCCCAAGATTTTTGACATGTGATCTAAAAAGAGGGGCCAGAGTGCCAGAATTTGTGGTGAGAGCATTCGACTTAGCTGGTGAACCAAACAAAATGCATTCAGTTTTGCTGTCATTTAAGTGCAAAAAGTTCTGTGACAGCCACTGTTTTATATCTGTGATGCAGTCCAGCAGTTTAGTAAGTGCAGTGTTTTCGTTTGGTGTCATGGGCAAATATATCTGCAAATCATCGGCATAAAAGTGAAAAGACAGGTTGTGTTTTTTTATAATTGATCCCAGAGGTAGCATATACAATGAAAACAGAATAGGGCCGAGAATAGATCCCTGTGGCACCCCACAGGGCAGCGATGCATTTGAGGAGCAGTCACCAATTGAGACAGAGAAACTCCTGTTTGCCAGGTATGACCTAAACCACTGGAGAGCGGTGCCACGGATGCTAACGTGCTGCTCTAAGCGAGATACAAGGACTGCATGGTCGACTGTATCAAAGGCTGCTGTGAGGTCCAGCAGCACAAGCACAGCAGGATTCCCAGCATCCACAGACAAGGCAATATCATTGTGCACCTTTAACAGTGCTGACTCGGTGCTATGTCGGGATCTAAAACCAGACTGAAATTTATCAGGAATAGAATTGATCAAGATTGTTTAAGCACCGGAACCGTTTAAAAAATACAGAGTAGGCACCGCTATCGGATAAAACCCAATCGATACCCAACCCTACTCCCCAATAATGTGAACCTAGAAAGTAACCTCGAACCTGAGCTCCTATTCATCAGACAGCTTAATTTAGTTGAATATAGGTGTCAGAAGATAATATGTGTGTGAAAAATAATTCAATAATTCAAATCCAAACAAAATAAAACCTGACCCTGCAGTAGGTAAGGTCACAGAAGGTCTACTCGTAAGATGCACACACACCGATACTCAACTAAATGATAAAGTTAACTGCCCAGACAGTGGGTTTTTAGGCCTCTTTCACTGAAAACAGCTGCCTGCTCTGAGTAAAAGTATGTACTATGCTTTGAGAGCAGTGAGAGGTTTCAAAACAGTAAAGAGGCTGCCGGAAAGCTAAAAAATTTGCTAAAATTTTCTATAGAGCTCTGTAAAGCCATGGGGAGGCTCCAGATTCACTGATAATTCTCGTTAGGTTCATCACTACTAGCAACCCCTTTGACACTGTCAAACTGTTTCACATTGTCATTTGTTACATTGTTATCATAAAACTATCACAGTCGCTTTAAGTAAAGCATCTGAATACTTCTTCCACCACAGCCAAGGTGCACATGTGACTTCAGTGTGTGACAGACTGCAGTGAAAGACCACTTGCTGCTTCCAAATAGAGCTGTCATTTTATTTATCTTACCAATCATAGTTAAAAACCTGAGCAGCAGTGTACTTTAATAATAAAGCAACCAATGCTTCTGATAATACTGCAGAAAGAATGGAAGCTCTTGGTATGGTATGTTCTTAATCCCATGTTTTATGTTTGTTATGTGATTGATGGTTTTCAATGTCTAGAATCTTCTTATTTGTGCACCCTTTACATGATATGTTACGTGTACATTGAATGGAAGCACTGTGGTACTGTGTGGAATGAATGTTATACTTGGAAGGAATACTATAAAAGGTATAAAGGGTCTTTTTTGGCTGAATGGAAGTTATTGATATAGTGGCAATACATATTCTGATTTCAGTCAATATATATTTTTGAACTGATCAATGATTGATTGATTAATTCATCAGAATGAGGCAGGAAGTGAAAGGTGGAATGGATGAGGTGGAAAGATGAAAGCCTGTCCTGTGCTAGTTGTTGTTAAGTGTGGCTAACTGTTTACTCATTGTATCAACGTGTGTGTGTGTGTGTGTGTGTGTGTGTGTGTGAAATATGTAATTGCCAAATTCATTTGTAAATTATGACTAAAGACTATTTTGAGGTCACAATGATGCTTTGACTTTTTTCTCCTTTTTTTTGGCTTTTATTGATAGTGACAGCTGAAGATAAACAGGGAAGCGGGGGTAGAGAGAGAGGGGATGACATGCAGCAAAGGGCCACAGGTTGGATTCGAACCCTAGGCCACTGCAGCCAAGGACTTGGTACATGGTGCCAGCTCTACCAGATGAGCTTACTGGGCGCCCGATGCCTTCACTTTTGAGAGAGGTATTGAATAATGGCCATCTGTTTTTCCAGGACTATGATGTCAGAATGAAGTTGACCTTTGACCTTTGGCTTAAAAGTGGCTGTGGCTCAGAGGTAGAGCGGGTCGTCCACTAATCGGATGGTTGGCGGTTTGATCCCCGGCTCCTCTCGCTGCATGTCGAACTTTTATTTTCCGTTGGCACCTTACATGGCCTTGCATGTCAGCCACTGCCATCAGTGTATGTGTGAATGGGGTGAATGTGGCCTGCAGTGTACAGAGAAAGGCGCTATATAAGTACAGTCCATTTACCATTTACCATTAAAAAAATCATCACTTCATTATGTCCTTTAAACCTATGTGTCTAATGAGCCAGAGTCGTTTTGTTTTTTTCATTAGTTTTTGTTTTTATTTAGTTTTTATTTCAGTTTAAAAACTATTTTAGTTTTATTTTTAATTGGTTTTATTTTTATTATTTTATTAAGAACATTTCCTGTATATTTTTAGTCTATTTGAGTTGGTTCTGTAAGTGCACAATATTGTGTTGGTTAGTTTTTATTGTTTTCTAAAGTCTAGTTTTTATTTTTAGAGTGCTACTAGAATGATTTTTTTTAATTTTAGGCTTAGTTTCAATTAACTACATGTTGTCTTGTAATGAGCAAGTGTCTTATTTAAATGAAATCAGTACTTTATTTATAGTGACACACAAATATGCAAAATGCAAAAACATTGTTTTATTAATTATATTATAATTACATTTGGAAGTAAAAAGAATTAAAAAACAATCTTTTCATGGAAAAAAAATCTAATGTGCTGTATAAAAGATGTGTCCTGGATTATCTGGCTCAGGAAAAGAGCAAGAGCCTATAACCCTGATGAAAAAGCTTTGATCCTTCAGACCATTAATTGTTTTCTGTTTCCAGAGACTTAATGAAAGCCAGAAAATAGTTAATGAAATTATAGATTCATAAACATCTGGGCACCCTGGCGGTCAGAATGTACTGCAGCCCCATGGCAACAGACTGTGTGTTCTGACACCTTTCTATCAGAACCAGCATTAACTGTGGGCCAGCCTTCACCCCCCACATGCATCAGTGAGCCTCGGGTGCCCATGACCCTGTCTCTGGTTCACTGCTTTTCCTTCCTTGGAGCCCTTTTGATAGATACTGACCTCTGCAGACTGGGAACACCCCATAAGAGCTGCAGGTTGGAGATGCTCTGACCCAGTCGTGTAGCCATTACAATGTGGCCCTTGTCAAAGTCATTCAAATCCTCACGCTGCCCATTTTTCCTGTTTCTAACACATCAACCTGAAGACAAAATGTTCACTTGCTGCCTAATACATCCCACCCACAGACAGGAGCCATGATAACTAGATAATGAGTGTTATTCACTCATTGCTCACAATGTTATGACTGATCAGTGTACAGTATATGTATGCATTAGGACAGTGGTTCCCAACCTTTTTCCTTAAGGGACACCTGACTAAGTGACAGTTTATGGAGTTTATGTAAATGAGTGATTTGGTTGAATTTTGAGCAGATTATTTCCTGTAAATATTGCATCAGAGATGTTTCTGATATGAGTTTTTATACAATCCTCTGTCTATTTTTTATTTATATTATTGTATCTGATTTTTTAACAATCATACATACTTCATAGGCTTCTTTTTTGACAAATGCAGTGTTCTCAGTCTTCTCATTCCTCTATTATTTCTGTGGCTGACTGCTTACCTTTCTAATGTAGAATGAGGCTATTTATGAGAGAGTGAAGACTCTGTGAATATAGCTTGTGCTCAGGCCTTATATTTTAAATAATCTAAACTTAAAATATAACAATTTAATTTATTTTCTTCACATAATTGAATGAAATTCAGATATATAGGCATACTTTGGATAATTTTACATTTTTCTTACACCCATTAAAATCAACAGTTGTGGGGGTCCTGAGCCCCAGGTTGGGAACCACTGTATAAGTATAAAAACACACATCCGTATTTTCACTTATTATTGTCTCATTACAGTATGTTGGCATCATAGGAGTCAGGCTGTAATATCTGAAATGTAACAATAAGCCTAATAGCTTTTTTAAGCCAGGGGTAGAAAAGGGCATAGATGATTGGGTTTAGAAAGGAGTTAAAATACATCAGAAAAATCATAAAGACCTCAGTTGTATAACCGATCAATATGTCAAGGCCAGTGAGAGACACTCAGTAATATGGAGCGTAACAGAGCAGAAAAATGACTATCAGAACACCAAGTGTCCTGGCTGGTTTTATGTCAGATTTCTTAGTTTTCACAGTCTTTGGACGCTTGAGTGAGACAGTCGCAATGTGGGACTTCATGGCACGAGCCTGAGACACAGCCACCACAAAAACTCTCATGTACAGAATTACTTCGTTTCCATTTGATCGACTTTGTGTGTGAAAGGGTGAATGTGGAACGTAGTGTAAAAGCACTTTGAGTGGTCAGAAGACTAGAAAGGCGGTATACAAGTAAAAGTCTATTTACAATCCATTTTCCTTAACACAGAAAAGGCATACTTATAGTCATTCCACAGTGTCTGTTTACAGTATGTTGGTCTCACAAGAGTTGGGCTGCAGTATCTGAAGTGTAACGATGAGTTTAATAGATTTTCTAAACCAGGGATAAAAAAAGGCATAGATTAGAGGATTCAGACAGGAGTTAAAATAGAACAAACATAATACAAAGGCAGCAGATGAAGCATTGAGTAAGGTGTCCTGGCCTGTAAGAAAAACACAATATAATGGGCAGAGACATATTAGAAACACAACTATAACAACCCCAAGAGTCCTGGCTGCTTTCATTTCAGATTTTCTAGAAGTAACTTTAACTGATTTCTGGAGTCTGACAGCTGCAATATGTGACCGCATGGCACGAGCCTGAGACACAGCCACCACAAATACTCTCATATACAGAACTACAATGACAGTGACAGGACCAATAAAGGTTAAAAAGAGATCAGCAATTCCTAGAGCATAACTAATAACAACCACACACTCGCCAAAGCAGGAATTATACATGCCTGGTTGTGTCAAGTTATCTTTCATTGTGAAACTGGTGTATAGAACAGAATAAACCCAACAAAGGCAAAGACAGATTGTTATTCCTTTCACAGTGATTTTGGAGGGGTAATGTAGAGGGTCACAAATGGCCACAAAGCGGTCAACTGATATGAGCACCATGGTTCCTACTGAGGCAGAGGTCACAATAAAGTCTAAAATATAATACAGAACACACATGAGGTCACCGAGGAACCAGCAGCCGTCTGTAAGGACAACTTGAAAGAACATGAGGAGGCCCACGAAGAAATCAGAGACAGCCAGAGAGAGGAGGAGGAGGTTGGTGGGGGTGTGGAGCTGCCTGGAGAGGAAGACCAGAAATGTATTTATCATTATTTCTTAACATCAATTATCACTGAGATAAAAGCAGATTGCAAAGATTGAAATGCAGTAATATTACATAGAAATATTATTCTGTTCCTAAAAGTTTAAGGCAATACGTTTTACTATATATCAGTTTAATAAATGAATGATTATCTACTTGAAGTGGGAGATAGAGATGATGACCAGCAGGTTAAGAACTACAGTGAGCAGAGAGATGGAGGACAGCAGAATGTAAATCAGCATGGTCTCAAAGTGAGGACGCACTGGCTTCCTGCAGGAGGTGTTGAGGAGTTGTGGAAAGCAGAGTTCACTTCCCTCCAAGGTCTCCATCGGCACAGAGATTATGAGCTCTAGCAGCTTTATGGCTTAAGTTCAGATGTTATATAAGGTGGTCTAGGATGTCCCTCCTCCCTTGCTCTGTACAGTATCTTCATTGGTCTCTCTGCTGATATGAGCCTCTATTTTTCAACTAGGATCTAAAATCTTCATCATATCTAAAATCATGTCCAATAAATTAAATTACTGGTGGTGACACATAAGTAAGACTGAAAGAGACATTCACCAGGGGACTGTACCTTTAAGGGAGAGGTGTGAGGGGATGCCGGTTCCGGGTTAACGTAGTGTAGCCGTTTCTGACCTCACTCGCTGTACAGTGTGTTATTATATTGAAGTGGAGAGTAAAGCTGACTCGACGCATCTCCGTCTCTTGTCTCCTCACTTATTGCACTCCACATTGGTGACCCCGACGCGAGTTGGATACGGCTGAATTATGTCACACAACGACTGTGGTGAAAATGCTGCTGCTGCGGCGCCGGCCGCTGCTAGCGGCGCGGCTAATGTCGGTGCTATCTACGCTGCTACCATCAACTTTTGGCAGCACAACCCACGGCCGTGGTTTCAGCACATTGAGGCCCAGTTCCAGCTGAGAGGAATAACACAGGACGTTACAAAGTATTTCCACGTGGTAGCGGCCTTAGATGCCTCGACGACAGCCAGGGCTATGGCGCTGTTAGAGGCTCCTCCGGCTGACGGCAAGTACAACGCACTCAAAACATTCCTGTTGAACTGTCGGAGCTGGAGAAAGCAGACCGCCTGCTGTCCCTGAACGGCCTTGGTGATAGCAAGCCGTCCGAGTTAATGGAGAGGATGCTGGCTGTGCTGGGCGCGGCGGATCCCTCATTCCTCTTCGCCCACATTTTCCTGCGGCAGGTTATTATGGGTGAATTCTGGGGGGGCCTGTGTGGTGACCCATAAGTAAGACTGAACGAGACATTCACCAGGGGACTGTACCTTTAAGGGAGAGGTGTGAGGGGATGCCGGTTCTGGGTTAACGTAGTGTAGCCGTTTCTGACCTCACTCGCTGTACAGTGTGTTATTATATTGAAGTGGAGAGTAAAGCTGACTCGACGCATCTCTGTTTCTTGTCTCCTCACTTATTGCACTCCACATTAGGACTCCCTAAAGGATCTTCAAAGATAACAGGATGCACCAAGTTTAAATCCTAGCAAAGGTTCTGAATACATATGAAAATTAAAGCTGCAAGCAGCGATGAACGGGCCCTTGCACTCCACGCAACTCTGGGTGTGCTGCGGCCACATTTAACGTGCCTACCGAGTTTTATACATATCGGAGGAACATGGCGCCAGGGCTACTTTTTTGAAATACTGTAGGGGGCGCTACAAAAACGACAAACTCGATTTTTGGTATGTGAGCTGCAAGAACCAGTCTACACGTGCCCTGTGAATTTCATATTCACAACTATTACGGTCTCCGCACAGTGATTTACCATGCCACCAGAGCGCCACCTAGTGGCAGATTGTTGACACATTTTTTAGCAAGCCTCAGGGAGCCATGGGTAAGCATGGTACCAAGTTTCATTTTAATCACACATGCCGATGCAGAGATATACAATTTTTAATTTTAAAGAGCGCCACCTGTGGCGATGGCCTGAAGTTGTGCATGATGCCTAAGTAAGACATGGGGAACTATGGACCTAAGCTTGGTGTCAATCGGACATACCAATGTGGAGAAATGCCCCACTTCCTGTTTTGACACAAAATCTACAGGAAGTCCTAATTTTATAGCGTGCTTATTTTTTGAAATATCAAAATTTTTCTAATTACCGTTTTTGCCAGGGCGGTCCCCAGATGGTACTTGAAAAATGTTGTACGAATCGGACAAAGCGTATAGGAGTAACACGAAAAAGTGGTTTATGAATATTTTGCACTCTAACGGAAAAAAATGTGTATGCGGAAGTGGGCGTGGCCTATATGGGGAGATTCAGCTCCATTCAATGAATGCGTGGATATAAGGTTTTTGAATGTGTGACAAACTATGCAGAAGTTATTAGCCTAAAACACTTTTCATGATAGTAGTGCCACCTAGTGGCCTACCCGAAAGCGACAAAGCCTTCGCACGGTCAGTGCTCGGGCCCTAATTAGATACTTCCGTTTTTTAATGTTAATACATTTTAACAACACAGTCAGTTTTTGCCTTATTTTTTTAGACACCCTTCAGAGAATGCATCCTCTATATATTTACAAAGACTTTTAACCTGCCTATTACATGGATTTTATTGCAAGCTTTACCTCAACTTTACAGTGTCATATAGTGTTTCTGAAAGCTTTCTCCTTTTGTGTGGCCATAACCTCCCTGTGGATGATCTGTGATGCCTCATATCAATTATGGGCTTAATATTAAAGGGCCCTATTTTAATTGCACAAGCAAAAAAGCACAAAGTGGTATGTCTTGGGTGCATAGGTAGTGTGGGTGTTTTAAAGTGCACCTGCCACTTTCCTTGGTTCTTTCTCAACCTTTCTAGCAATCAGAAAAATCATAAAGACCTCAGTTGTAGAACCGATCAATATGTCAAGGCCAGTGACAGACACTCAGTAATATGGAGAGTAACAGAGCAGAAACATGACTATAACAACACCAAGCGTCCTGGCTGCTTTTATCTCAGATTTCTTAGCTTTCACAGTCTTTGAACGCTTGAGTGAGACAGTCGCAATGTGGGACTTCATGGCACGAGCCTGAGACACAGCCACCACAAAAACTCTCATGTACAGAATTATGATGACAGTAATGGGAATGATAAAGCTGACAACTGATTTCACAGCAGCTTCTCTAAAAAAAGATCCCAATGTAAAGGCTTTTTTGCAATGAAATTGTGGGAGAAAGTGAACTTTGCAAAAGTAGTTGTGATTATTTTGGTATAATTCATTCATCCAAATTGCAGGAAAAAGAAGACACGCTGCTATTGCTGAGGCCCCTGATGTGGAAGCTCTTTCCAATGCTTTCATATATCTTATCTAGCTTTTTGTTCTCTCCTCTAAGATTCTCTCATTCTGTCTCATTTAGAAAAGGATGTCCCGCCTCCCCTTGGTCTGTATATTGTCATCATTGGGTATCTCTACTGATGTGTGATTCAGTTGACATTACTGAAAATAAATACCAAGCTCAAATAATCTTCCAATGCAGTTCTGCTTTTTATTGACTATGTAATGTTTTAACAATGGTAAGTAAAGCATATGCCTGTTGCATGTTTTACTGGACAGATGTGAGAAAGTATTGATCTTCTGATCAGCAAGAAAGCAATTCAGTCCTTTTTGGATTCCAAAGATCACAGCAAAACCACCTTCCTTTGGCCTGACAAAGGCTGTTTTCACACTTGGCCCCTTTCACCCCTCCAAATGAACTCAGAGGAATTAGTCAGCATTTATTCTGTATAGACCCCTCTGAATCCAACCATACAGATGGTTTCAAGTCCGCATTGCGGTTAACTTAATCTGGGCATTATGAACACAAAGCACTCTAGGTGCGCTTGGCAGTTTGTCGTGTATTCAAGTCAGCATAGCTGCTACGATCCAAATTCATAATGTTATATCCAGGGTGCAGCACCTAGTGTTACCATGTTTTGCTATCATTTTATGTTTGGCTTGCTTCTCCGTCTCTCTCCTCCGCAGGACCGAGGTCAGGGCTCAGCTCTAAAAACACACATAGATGTATATTTACTATATAGTGAATTTGCTTACGTTTTACTTGCGTGCATAATGTGAAAAACTGCAACTTGTGTGGGTTTTTTAAATTAATGTTGCAAGGTCGTTGGTTCGATCCCTGGCTCTTCTGGCTGGATGTCGAAGTATACTTGAGCAAGATACTGAATCCCAAATTGCTCCCAATGCTATGTCATCAATGTGTGAATGTGAATGACTGACTTGGTTTCCATTTGATCGACTTTGTGTGTGAAAGGGTGAATGTGGCACGTAGTGTAAAAGCACTTTGAGTGGTCAGAAGACTAGAAAGGCGGTATACAAGTACAGGTCTATTTACAATCCATTTTCCTTAACACAGAAAAGGCCTACTTTCAGTCACTCCACAGTGTCTGTTTACAGTATGTTGGTCTCACAAGAGTTGGGCTGCAGTATCTGAAGTGTAACGATGAGTTTAATAGATTTTCTAAACCAGGGATAACAAAAGGCATAGATTAGAGGATTCAGACAGGAGTTAAAATAGAACAAACATATTACAAAGGCAGCAGATGAAGCATTAAGTAAGGTGTCCTGGCCTGTAAGTGTGACACAAAAATATGGGCAGAGACATATTAGAAACACAACTACAACAACACCAAGAGTCCTGGCTGCTTTCATTTCAGATTTTTTAGCAGTTACTTTCACTGATTTCTGGAGTCTGACAGCTGCAATATGTGACTGCATGGCACGAGCCTGAGACACAGCCACCACAAATACTCTTATATACAGAACTACAATGACTGTGACAGGACCAATAAAGGTTAAAAAAAGATCTGCAATTCCTAGAGCATAACTAATAACAACCACACACTCGCCAAAGCAGGAATTATACATGCCTGGTTGTTTAAAGTTATCTTTCATTGTGAAACTGGTGTATAGAAAAGAACAAACCCAACAAAGGCAAAGACAGATTGTTACTCCTTTCACAGTGATTTTGGAGGGGTAATGTAGAGGGTCACAAATGGCCACAAAGCGGTCAACTGATATGAGCACCATGGTTCCTACTGAGGCAGAGGTCACAATAAAGTCTAAAATATAATACAGAACACACATGAGGTCACCGAGGAACCAGCAGCCGTCTGTAAGGACAACTTGAAAGAACATGAGGAGGCCCACGAAGAAATCAGAAACAGCCAGAGAGAGGAGGAGGAGGTTGGTGGGGGTGTGGAGCTGCCTGGAGAGGAAGATCAGAAATGTATTTATCATTATTTCTTAACATCAATTATCACTGAGATAAAAGCAGATTGCAAAGATTGAAATGCAGTAATATTACATGGAAATATTATTCTGTTCCTCAAAGTTTAAGGCAATACGTTTTACTATATATCAGTTTAATAAATGAATGATTATCTACTTGAAGTGGGAGATAGAGATGATGACCAGCAGGTTAAGAACTGCAGTGAGCAGAGAGATGGAGGACAGCAGAATGTAAATCAGCATGGTCTCAAAGTGAGGACGCACTGGCTTCCTGCAGGAGGTGTTGAGGAATTGTGGAAAGCAGAGTTCACTTCCCTTTAAGGTCTCCATCAGCACAGAGATGATGAGCTCTAGCAGCTTTATGGCTTAAGTTCAGAAGTTATATAAGTTATCGACCTCTTTTTTCCCTCCTCTAAGATTCCATCTTACTGGGGTCCAGGATGTCCCTCCTCCCTTGCTCTGTACAGTATCTTCATTGGTCTCTCTGCTGATATGATCCTACCCTTTCTCAACCGAATTTGCCAACTGGGATCAAAAATCTTCATCTTATCTAAAGTCATGTCCAATAAATTAAATTAGGACTCCCTAAAGGATCTTCAGAGATAACAGGTTGCACCAAGTTAAAATCCAAGTAAAGGCTCTGAATACATGTGAAAATTAGATACTTCAGTTTTTTAATTTTAATACATTTGAACAACACAATCAGTTTTTGCCTTATTTCTTTACACACCCTTCAGAGAATGCCTCCTCTTTATATTTACAAAAACTATTAACATGCCTATTACATGTATTTTATTGCAAGCTTTACCTCACCTTTACAGTGTCATATAGTGTTTCTTAAAGCTTTCCACTTTTGTGTGGCCTTAACCTCCCTGTGGATGATCTGTGATGCCTCATATCAATTATGGGCTTAATATTAAAGGGCCCTATTTTAATTGCACAAGCAAAGAAGCACAAAGTGGTATGTCTTGGGTGCATAGATAGTGTGGGTGTTTTAAAGTGCACCTTCCACTTTCCTTGGTTCTTTCGCGACCTTTCTAGCAATCCTTCTCCCTCATCTTGGTCCAATTTTCCTCTTGCGATAACTACAGATGTTGGCTATAGTCCCATGGCCCTTAAACTGCAGAATGATATTGGCAACAGAGGTCACAGGAACATCAAGCTCTTGCCACAAAATTAAAACTTGGTTTGCACTGCCTCATTTGAATGAAGCTCTGTGAAGATACTACACAGATGGGCTAAACAAATTTGGCAAAAGTGTTGCTTCTTGCGCCACCATGAAAATAGGGGTAGTTTGGTGAACTATGCTCAATCAGATTTAATAACAGTGAAATATCTCTAAACTTAAATTGGGCATAAATATCTAGGGATGCACCCATATATCAGCTGAACATCAGTATCGGGCAAAATTTGCCTTGTTGACTGACATCTGCCTATTAAGCAAATAAGATAGTGTTCACTGATATCAATGACTGATGTTGTGGCCGTCAATCAATATTTTGTTGGCTCAATGTTGTGTGGCACGGATTCTGGACTATTCAGCTCTGTGTCTCAGAACTTGGAGAAATAGACTGAGCTGCAACTAGGCAGAGATGCTTATCTTTGTAGATGTCTGTTTACCTGGTACAAAAAGGAGAATAAACAACAACAAAAAAACATTGGTATAGACCCAGAATTTCTCAATCGGTGTATCCCTATAAATAACAATAAGGAAGACAATAGGCCTGTGATTGAGTTATTAAAAAAATACAAATATATTTCTCTGAAACATACAACAGATGTTTTACAGCACATTTATGTGTTCACAAATATTGGCTAGTGATTTTTTAGCTACTTATTTATTTGTAAATTCACTCCCTACAAACTCACCCGTCTCCTGCTTCACACCTCTCCTGTCCCCGCTTGAACTTGAACTCGTTGTGACTTCAAACAACCCCCGGAGTCAAAGTCCAGGTCAGACACATAGGCTTTGAGCCCGTTTCCATTGCCCATTTGCCCGGCTCTGGTTCTGGTGCTCATTCTGGATCCACTGCCCAGCGGCTTTCCCCCCGGCAGTTCAAAATCCATTAATGAGCAGTAGAGTTTTACTTACCTTAAAATGTCTTCAGCTCCACCCAGATTGTCCCCCAGATTGAATGTCGGTGCCTGGCTCGATAGCTTCCAAGCGCTCAGAGTCTGTGTAAGCATTCATGGTTCAGATTGTAATTCCATTCTCCAGAAGTAATCTGCTGGATCACAGCACTGGAAAGCAAGGACAGCTTCTTAAATATGCTAGGCTTCATTCTACATACAGTGAAGCTCAGTCAACCTTCTCTTAGTAACAGAAAGGGGACAACTCTGGAACTACATACAGTACTGTTCACCCACCACACACCTGTGTTTGAGTTTGATGGCCAAGTTACTGACATCAGGCTGACTGTAATAACAGGAGTCCATATGCAGTTTGGTGCTTGATTAAGACAAACGTGGAGAAGTTCTGTGTCATGATGGTGTTCTTGTAGGTAATGTGGGTTTTGTTTACCTAAATGGTCACATGGGCATGGACATTGTTACTCCACATTCAGGTTCACCTAACAGTTTACTCATTTTTATTTTGTAACTAAGTGAAGGAGAGTAATGGTAAATGGGCCTGTATCACACCTTTCTAGTCTTCCTACCACTCAGAGCGCCTTTACACTACAGTGATGGCAAAGCCCATCGAAAAGAAACTAACTCATTCATACACATATGACAGCATCATGAGCAGTTCGGAGTTCAGTACTCAGTGCTCAAGGATGCTTCGACATGTGGCGGGAGGAGCCAGGGATCGAACCGAAAACCTTCCGATAAGTGGCTCTGCCTCTGATCCACAGCCACCCCTAAGTACCTACCATGACCACTGCACCGCAGGTGTTGCTGCTTCTGTTGAAGGTGAACGTCACCATGTGGGTCAGGTCATTCATTTCACCTGAAATAGAAGTTAAAACAACTGTGATGTTCTTGTGTCACAGCTGATTCACCAAAAGTGCTCATTGATCTGATCTCCACCTGTCCACATGTCAAAGTGTCATTGGGGAAGAATCTGAACCCTAAGTTGCAGGACAGGCCAGTGCCTTGCATTGTACCTCTGGGTGAATGAGAGGTCAATTGTAAAGGACTTTGCCCGTTCGGGTTCCAAAAGTGGTCATATATGAGACAATAGTTGTTTTCCTTACAGATTTATATGTACAGAGTGCTGTAAGAATGAATCCTAAAACCTGGAACTGAGTAAGCATTTTGCAATTCTGGCTCCCTTGTCTCAAAGTGAAGTGGTTTTTTTTAAGCTAGTTAAAACAAGCCCATGGCCGCTGCAGCAAGGACTCAGCCTTGGTACATGGGGCTCCAGCTCCACCAGGTGAGCTAGCTAGGCACCCCAAATTATGTTTATTATTATGTTTTGAGTTTTTACGTATCTTAAAGAAGGCGGTTGCTAACAAGAGGCTAAATGAGACCGCAGACGTCAGTGACATTAAACCTCATGCTGAACACTTAAAGTCCAGTGGTGGTGACGTTGAGTCATGTGACCATGGTGTAGTTCATTTATAGCCTTGCTTTTTACTTTTGGCAATCACATTTTTGGTTCAAACATCCTAAAAGTTGTGTTCATTTGTGAAGATTATCTTGCTGAACAAAACGTGTATCATGAATCTTATCTTCACCAATCTCTGTGTCTGTTGCTTATATATGCAATGGTAGGTGGCTCCACAACTGGGTAACCTAGGCCCCTGCTGAGAGTGGCCTAAAGACAGCAAGGGCAAAGTAGGAAGAAAAGCAAAACTAAAAACAAACGGCATCATCTTTTCATCCCTGGGGTCTGACGAGAAGTTATACTCTCTTTATTACACCTTTAAGAAAAACCTGCGTCTGCATTTCAAAATTCAACTGCTTATATCGTAATGCTAACACACTTGTTTTGATAGTAAAGGTTGCTGAGCCCTGGACTAACAGATCAACTGCCATTAACATCCCTATGGACCCACAGCAGCACCTAAATATATAGCTTATGTTTAAAGAAATACATTTTGTATAAACCAACAATCAGCCCACATGGACCTTTAATGAGCCTTTCCTGCTACATTAATTATAAAAGTAAGGTGGGAGCAGATCAAATGTGCTGATATTCCCCACACTTGCCTACACCTCACTCATATCAGAACATAAGAAATCAGCTCCTGTACACTGTCATCATGAGTAGTAAATGGTAAATGGACCTGTATTTGTATAGCGCCTTTCTAGTCTTCTGACCACTCAAAGCGCTTTTACACTACGTGCCACATTCACCCTTTCACAATTTATTTAACAGAAATGTAGCAAGTCACTTGTAAAGATGGAAAGATCACTTCTTCTGCAGGAAGACTATTGATAATGTGGCAAACATATTCAGGAATGTTTATTTTCCTAGTGGAGTAAGAATATTTCTAACCACAAAAGAACCCTAAAATGTTATTGTCAGAATAATTCAAAAATGTTTGCAGGTTTTCTTACCCTCTGGACGAATTGTAGGACACCAAGGACACTATGTTTGAGAAGTATCACCGGATACTTTAGCACTCTCTTTGTGTCCATCTATATGTAACCGGCAGGTTAAGGGTCACCTGACGTGACGTGAGTCACCACTTTAACCACCCGGAAATAAATGCCCGTCCGGTCAGCTCCGAGCTTCCTCTTTCGGCTGCTGCTGCCGCATGGTGTGGTTGTGTACCGCTGTTCCATTCTGTTGGTCGAGATTGACGCTCTGTGTGGTCCGTGCTGTGTCTGCGAGGTCTCTGGGAAAGATGGCTGGTGAAGCATGTAAATGTTTGCAGAGATTCGGAAGCGGGTGCACAACAAAGGTACTTTTTCTTCGGTAGATTACCAGTCTTATTGTCCTCTGGTTTATATCTAACCGTATCAGGAGAAACACTAACCGCTGTTTTTGTATTTACGCAGCACAGATTGCCACTGCTGTTTTGCCTAGTCTGATTTATTAACGCACTAACGTAGCCTACCTGTTTTAATACTTTAGACTTAATTTAATTTGCATCCTTGTCTGTTTTTATTGTTACGACCTGTTTCATAGTAGTGTGTGAGGAGATTTTATTTCTTTGAATATTGTGTTTCGTTTTTAGGGGTTTTTAATTTGGATTCAATTTCAGGAAAACTATTGACATAACATTTTAACCATAGAGATTTCTTGATAGATGTTTGGGTTATTTTGGTTCAGAGGTGGTGACGTATAATAGGTGGCTCCTTTTAATAACATTGCATGTACTTTTAAGTGTGTTATTTGGGTTTTATTTTGTTAGATTGGCGTGTTGAAGTGTTTATTTATA